GCACAATCCCGGATCGCTCAGGTCTGCACCGGGCCTAGAGCTTACATTTCAGAAACAACTCCAGTATGTATTCTTATTACAATGTCGATGTTATAACAGGAGAGTATATGCTGGGACTTAAATTCTTATCCCAGTGACAGGGTGTCACAAACACAGGAAGTGATGGATTCTCTCTTAAATGGGGACCAAGACAGCAACTAAAGCACGAGTGAGGTAAGATTAGAAGAACATCTGTCAGGTTTTTATTGGTCTCTGTGTCTTCTTTAACTATGACATCCACGTCTTCCTTTCCTTGTCTTGGTGTCACCGGGACAGGAAATGAGGGTAAATCTCCCCAATCCGCATACAGACAAGTATTAATTAGTGGGTGATTCTTTCCCATTCTATGGACAACTTTATAAAAAAGCAGTTTTGGAGTTGCACTTAAGGATAAGAAATCTTATTGAAAAGACTCATTCTTTTCCCTTAAACATAATGAATCCAATAATGGAGAAAGGTTCTCACTATAATGAAGTCAGAGCTGTAAATGGACTTCTCAATAGAGAGCCGTCTATGGTCTACCGTTGCCATGACCAGACCTCACCCTGGTTTGAAGATACAAGTCAGCGGCCTTCATTGTGACAGGCTCAGCCTGATTATTAAATAAACCTTCATATATAGATACAATAGAATGCAGACATGGCTACAGCTTTATGTCACTCTGCACAATGACCGGGTTTATTTCATGTTATATAACCTGCGAAGTGGAAGGATTGAACTGGGCGTTGTATTGCTTGGAGAAAATTCCTAGTGTATAAGAGCGCACCGCGAGCTGTTATTGTAACATTTCCCTGAAAGTTATCTTTTTATGTGACTTCACTCTTTGCTTGCTTGCTGTCCCCTATTATGATCATTCATTGTCAAGTAGAGGTCAATATGAGAGAGCTGTGCAGGAATGATGCCGCACGGCCGTCTAATATTGACATATGCTTACCATGCCAGATTGACAACCTCTCCCAGATTTGAGTCCATTAGATCCTGTGGCAAGTTAGTTAAACCCCGATGAAGGGGGCTTGTTTGGTTCCGAAGCGCGTTGGCTGCCCTGCGTTATCCTTTTGCCATTTGTGGAATTAAGGAAATACATTTCTGGACTCTCCAAAATGTTTGTCAGTTGGTTAAGCCCTGATGAAGAGGGATTGTTTGACCCCCGAAGCGCGTTGGCTGCCCTGTGTTATCCTTTTGCCGTTTGTGGAATCAAGAAACTACATTTTTGGACTCTCTAAAATGTTTGTTTTTGTGCTCCTTCTGGCTCAACTGGACATGACATGCTGGGTATTCTTTTGTCTTCTCTTGGAAGTGTGCAGTCCTGGAGGATGCAGAAAGCAGCATTGATGGGATTACATCAGGGCTGCTCCCTTCATCAATACACTAACAGTACAGGGCACCTCGGGGCGGGGCTATGACACCCTACATTCTCAGCCTGTCCTCAAACTTCTGGGTTGAATGACACAGGGTGGGTGTCATTGAATGTCAAAGGGTGTCATTCAACACAGAAGAATGAGGACATCTTGTGGTGGAGAACAGGTACTGCAGGGTACAGCTTTGGATTGAAGGTGAGTATTGCAGCCACAAATTTTTGCTTTTCAAGCTCCAGGGGGCCATTTCTAAAAATAAATTAGCCTGACGTTTAACTGTAAAGACCTAGTAATGGTGGTGGAGTGAAACCGCCTTCTGCAGACTCTGCATCTCTGCTCCCGGCTCGGCGTCCCGCCCAGCTCCTGGCTTCCAGTGACATCAGTATTTCCCCTGATAATGTCTTCATCTGCTTTTCTCTCCAGTAGGATGGCACCATCTTTATTATTTAGGTTCAATATCTACTTCCTAGGCTGGCCTCAGATGACCTAATCATGTAAATCGAGGTGTATGTATCATTCTTTGCTGTGTATACAAATGTCTGACACACCTCGTGGGTTGCTACAGATTTACAATGCACAGTCTCATTAATGTAGAGGAGACTGAGGAAACGTTTTGTCCTGCCTGCAGCAGACTGATGACATCATCTCAGCCTGGACTGGAGCTCAAGGACTGCTTTTACATGATAAATGATGCAGCTTCTATGAAAATGTATACTGTTGGTGTGACATTCTATATTGTGACATATCAGGGATTTATGGAGTCTTGTAAAGTTCCTGAGAGATCCATTTACTGACTGCTGGCATTAACTTGCTTCTACTGATAGAGACTCTATATGATCCTGACTAGGGTTGCCACCTGTCTGGGATTGACCCGGACAGTCCGGGTTTTGAATGCTGTGTTTGGGATTCATGGCAGCAGAAACCCAGACACAAGATGTCAGGCAGACAGGGGCAACCAAAATTAAGATAGGGGCTACTGGCCCCCCACTGAAAATAGTCTCAACTGTGATATTTACATATGAATGGGTGGTGCTATTCACATATGAATAAGCCGCGACTTATTCTCCCCCCAAAATTTCCGTGAGTCACTAGAGTGTTCGGGTTTCGCTGAAAGAAAAGGTGGCAACCCTCGTCCTGACCCACAGTGCAATGAGAGGGATGCCCAGGCAAGTCTAGTCATTGTGCTGTACTACGAAGGAGGAAGCATAACTTGCATATGTAATATGGTTGTCCTTGTGCTCATATAGATTTACAACTGCACGCAGAAACTGGCTTTTGTGATCATCAGTTGTCAATAGCAACATTCCTTCCACTCGGCAGATCATATTCACAGATTATTACATGCAATCCTGTACATAAAAATTGTAAAATGACTCTTCACCTAGAAAACAGAGGAATCGCTGGACAGGAGGGTTCAATTAACCAAATGTCTCTAGACTGTGTACTGGTACTTAAAGGACTGATCAGCCATCTTCTATTGTGTCACCAAATGTATGGAATGATTTACATTAGTGAATACTTGTTATGTATATGTTTATGGGGTGAATGGCTGACATTAAAGTTTTACCTACTAGCCTTGTAATCTCTGCAGACTACACCCAGTACATGATGGGGCAATGAATGAGAAGCTGCATGTAGATGAATGCATCACTTTGCTCTCTCCTCCTGTCACGAAGCTCCCAATGTTAGATGGACAGCAGTGTGCAATGCAGTAGGATCTGACTGGGCCTGATTGGCTTGCAGTGCTGCTTCTTCCAGTCCTAGTCCGAGTGCTGCTGCAAAGTGGGTTGTAGGAAGACAATACAATGAGATACTTAGAGATGTGACTGCTAGCATATTGTAACCAGTGGCATCACAAGTTGGGTGCGGGGGGTGTGGCCCGCACCTGGGTGACACCACTGGCAGTCATTTTGGTGTCACCCCCTCTGAAAAGTCTCAGTTTAAAAACAGTTTTAGGAGAGAGGAGGGGACCTGGCTGCATACCTTATCCCGCCGTATGAATGTCCCCTCCTCTCTCTGCCAGCGTTTATCACCAAAATGGCTGCCAGCAGGTATCAATAAGATGGCCGCACATGCGCGATGACGTAATTGTGCACGTGCGTGGTGACGTTACTCGCATCCGTAATCATGTCATGGCGGGGTGTCACCCGGTATCTGCTCCGGGGGACACCCGGCCTTGGGATGCCCCTGATTGTAACTGTATATATTTAAAAAGAACAATATATAAAAATGTATTTTGTAGTAACATTCCTTCTCTCTCGCTTTCTCTCGTATAGTGCTTACATAAATATACTATATAGATATAGTTTTGAATGCCAACTCCCATCATGCCTTGTTCTTAGTGCCCGTGCACACCTAGGCATTTTTTTGCTCAAAGGTAAGATCAACAAACCGCTCATGACAAGGAATCCCATTCATTTCTATGGCCCCTGTTCACACCTGAGCGGTTTGTTGCAAGCAGAAAAACTCCTGTCGCTGGAATTAGTACATGAGCTACTTTTTGGCAGATTACAGTGTTTTTTTATGCCATTGACTTCAATGGGAACCATTGTGTGACAAAATGTGCAAAAACGATTCCAGGTGTTTCCCATTGGGACCAAAAAGCGCTAAAATGTATGTGTCAGTAATGCATATTTTTTGTGTAATGTCCTTTTAATTTAATACATGCTTTAGACATTTGTCCCATACATAGGGGGGTGCCAGTTGTTCTTACTCTGCGCCCACTTAAAATAATCAAGATCATGGAGGAAATATTCATTTCTTTTCATTTCCAAACTTAGATTGGATTTTTGACGTGAACCCAGCCTAGAGCGAAAGGGGCTCCTATAGGGTAGGCAACCTCAGCACTCCCGCTGTTGTGGAACTACAAGTCCCATGAGGCAGTGCAAAACTCTGACAGGCAAAATCATGACTCCCAGAAGCATTATGGGATTTGTAGTTTTGCCACAGCTGGAGTGCCAAGGTTGCTCACCTCTGCTTTAGGGTGTATGCACCTGTTAGTAAATCCACCTGAATTTCTTCCCAGAAAAAGCTGCATACTGTTTTTTCACCTGCAGGGGGCACTGCTCTGTCTCCCATATATAAGGCTCCTATAGCACACAGCATTCTCTCACAAGTTCCTTTCCCCGCTGCCTTTTACTGCTTTGCCTCAGCAGCTTTCCCCTTCTCTCGTAATCTCCTATCTGGCTTTCTCTTCTGTCCCTCTCCGTCACTGCTGCCTCTTCTCTGTCTGTTCTCTCCACTTTAATCCTTTCATTTCTAAGTATTCACATTCACCTGCTCCCCTCCCCACCTCTCTGAATCCTACCCACCTTCTTATCTCTCTTCTCCAATTCCCTTTTTATTCTTAATCTTTGCTTTCTTCACTGTTCTGCTATATATCATCCATTCACTTTTTTTTGTGCCACACTTTTCTCCCGTCTCCAACAATTTTATTTCCATTCCTTTCTGAATTCCTTTTTTTTTTTTTACTCTTTTATTTTCCTGAAGTTTATGTCAAGTTCTCACGTTTCCTAATCAACCTTTTCTTCTTCATATTTATTTTAACTTCTTCCGTTTTCATTACTTTACATTTCTTTACATTTATTCCCTGATTCTGTATTTTTTTTTCTTTCGCTACGACGCTTCATTGTGTCTCTCCTCAAAGACCACATATCCTGTTCTCTGGAGGGGCCACTTGCCTCTCCTCCACAACCTCCGGCACCATAGCTCCCCCCAGCCGTGGGTCCCCCCGTCCCTTGGCCCCGTTCGGCCTCGGGAGGAAGACCTTGGTGGCAGTGGCGATTGGAGTAGTAATGGTGCTAATTTTGGTAATCCTCATTCCGGTGTTGGTCAACTCTGTGGGCTCCGATGGCCACTATGAGATGTTGGGCACTTGCCGGATGGTGTGTGACCCCTACCTTAGCAAAGCCGGGACAACAACCACCAGTACGGGTATTCGAGCTGGCACCGGAGCTGAACCATTGAGTGACAGAGGACAACCGGCGCCTTCAACTTTAGTTCAAGGTCCTCAAGGAAAAGCTGGACGTCCTGGAAAGCCCGGACCTCCTGGAGAGCCTGGGCTACCTGGTCCACCAGGTCCTGTAGGTCCACCAGGAGAACGGGGAGAACCAGGCAAATCTGGACCACCAGGATTGCCAGGAGGTGGAGTGACTGGTGCCATCAGTACGGCTACATATACCACAGTTCCACGTGTGGCCTTTTATGCTGGCTTGAAGAACCCCCATGAGGGCTATGAGATCCTCAAATTTGATGATGTGGTCACCAACCTTGGGAACAATTATGATGCGGCAAGTGGACGGTTCAGCTGTACAGTACCAGGCACCTACTTCTTCACCTACCACGTCCTGATGAGAGGTGGAGACGGCACCAGCATGTGGGCAGACCTCTGCAAAAACGGACAGGTGAGCATGCCGGTATTGGCACTTTTCAGTTTTAACTGTGGAACATCTGATTAGTTTTATGAGCGCTTGGGTAGAATATTAACAACCATAGTAACAAACATATGTGCTCATCTACTATGCCAGGGCTGGCCAACCTTTGACCCTCCAGCTGCTAGGAACTACAAGTTCAAGCACACAGTGCCAACCATTATTTATTGCATAAAGTTTTTATACATGCCCCGCATCTATATGCATTAATGCAAGCAAAGGATGCCTGAGAAACTAAACATAAACCTGTAAATAATTCAAAAAGTCGAGATATAAAATTTAGCATGCATCCTTCAGGCTGGCACTGTAACCTCACATTAATGTGAGAAAAAGTGTCACCTTCCTTTTTAATCAAACAAAAGAACGTACTTTTTATATACATAGATAACGCCAAAGAGAGATATAGATAGATAGATAGATAGATAGACAAATACAGTAGTTGGATAGATAGATAATAGATACAATAGATGGCTACAGTAGACAGTAGATAGTTGATAGCTACAACGGATAGATACTGTAGATAGATTAGATAGATAGATAGAGATATATACAATAGATAGAATATATACGATAGATACAGTATATAATTAGATTACTAGATCTGATCTTTTAAAAACAATTTCTGGAAGTATTTCCCGGGGACACGTAGCTGCTGAACTATGGTATCCAGGCTCATCATACACTACATTGGTTCAACAGACTACAATGTAGTACATAGCCCATAATGACATATAGTATGTATTGGAGCCAGTGAATAACGCATACATATTCTGGTAAATGCTTTTTTAAAATTGCTGTTATCCAATAATATAACCATAACAGTCTAGAAGACAATACCAGGCAATGCAGAAAGGGAAGCATTATTGTACCAGGGGCAAAGAGCAGGATCAAACACTTCCAGGAACAAACCTTCAAAGCATAGTCCCTACAAGTCTTCGGCAGCCGGCAACTGTACACTTGGAAATGTGGTGTTTCTCATCCACTGGCAAACTGCTAAAATTATTTAACTGTTGAAACAACATCCGTCTACGTGATTGAAATGTAGCTTAATTAATTGGTGTTTAGAATAAAAAGGACTGATTGAAAGCTAAAGCGGCAGCAGAACACAAACCAGAGGGGGGATAGAGAGAGGGAAAGTGCTTATATTGGTTTTTTTCCTGTTCCTTTCGGAATTAGCATTGATCCTAGAACTGAACTTGTGTACAATCCCGTCTGGAGCGGTGCCCTGATTGGCACTATCAGAATTAATTACCATGAAAGAGCCAGGCAGCCTGGAGGGAGAATGAGTAATGAAGATGAACTAAGGGGGCTTTGAACTTACACAGGGCAGTTGCATTGCAGCCGTCACAATGCATTAAAGGGTCTTGCGTCCCAGTAGTACATTATGTGCTGCGGTGCCTGTTAGTGCCACCTTAGCATTGAATCATGTAGATCTTTGAGGCACGCGAACCGTGGTCACAATGGGTGGCTTATTAAATTAAGCGCCCAAGGGATAGTGGTTTTCTCCACTCCAGCGTTTACGTTTGAAATCACCCAGAGATAAAAGTGAGATAGCTTCAGTGGAGCAGAGAAAATGAGTTTACCCACAGGAAAAGAAAAACTAGCAGCCTGGAGCAAGGTAGACAGTTAGCACATGGTAGGAATGAGAGTTTGCCTAGAGACAGAAAAAGAAGACCTGAGAAAGCAGAAAGAGCCAGCCAAGAATGCAGGAAAACAGCATGTATTATATGAAAGATATCAAGGTTTGAACACTGGATAGCAGTAAGACTAAGGTAGGCAAAAGCAACCTTCACTTTAATCGGGAGACATTTTTTACAAAAACATCTGAACTCAAGAAAGAAAAACACTGACGTACTTAAAGTAAAACCCTAAACATTTTTTTTTTAAAGTGAAGTTCCCCTTCTCTGATTACTCCAAGGCTAAGAAATTGGTGTAACTTGGTTGACTGGTTCAATAAATTTTATCTGTCTTAGATGTGATGGACAGTAACCTAAGCCTGGACGAATCCCAGGAGCCAGCTAGCCAAAGCTCCCTCAAAATTACAGCTGTTGCCTAACATTTAAGGCTTTCTCTAGTCAATGGAGCTGACTCCTATAAAAAAAAAGGACCCTGCTGGTTTCAGGATTGGACAGGCTGGCAAGTCAGAGACAGCAATACCTAGAAGAATAGCAACTCTTAGGGAAGACAAAGCGAAAGAACAAGGACAGGAACACATGAGATTTACAACAGTAGATGCAAGTCATGTTCGGAGACAAGTGTCTACTTGGTGAATGAGCATTAGATGAGAACCAGACCATGAGCAAGGAGGGAGACACCAAAGAGCCACAAAAAAGACTAATGTTGATAAGTCAAGGGACAAACATAGCATAGCGGAAGTCATACAGTTTAGTATGAAGTCAATGAGAAACATAACGTGACATAATGTAATCACCTATGTGACAAGTCAAGACATTCAAATAAAAAGTTCCTGTAGCGGAGGTTTCGGTGTATTGCTCCTTGACAATAGAAGAAGAAAAAAGCACTGACAATACTACTTGCATAGGAAACCCCAAAAGTAATAAAATGAATTAAAGGAAAATACATTTATAAATTGAGGAAGGGTATGACGGTTCCATTTAACCCTGCAAAAGCCAACCTAAATAAAGAAATGTCATGTGTTGTACTAACATATCTACGAAAGACACTAAAGGGAACGTGTCGTCTTACCTTCTTAGGTGTAAGAATAATGCTGAGATGTATATAAGGAATTAGGACTAGATGAATGCATATTGAGTGTAAGTCAGTCTAGGAAAGTACAATGCGTAGAAGATAAAATCAGAAGGTTTTCTGTTTTAGAATCTTCCATTGTGTACCCAAAATCTCCCTACATAGCCAAAACTTGACAAAAAAAAATATATAGACAAAAAAAAAATGTAAATGAAGTGGGAAAGACTTAGAAACCACTGTCAAGTTTTTTTTTTTTTTTGTTTTTTTTTTTATAGAAAGTGAAACAAAATCTTCTAGAAAGTGAAAAAAAAAATCTTCCAATGTGGACACTTGTTCTGGTGACTACTGTCTAAGAGGGAAATTTCCCTTCACTTTGTGACAATTTCTACTTCCAGTTGCATCTTCAGGACTGAAAGTAAAGGGAAGCTTTTCCAATGGTACACAGCCAGCAAGAAATAAACCAATGGGTTTTTAACCCTTTCATACTTTATCCAAAATGTAAAAAAAAAGTTGGGACTATACATACTCATCAAAGTGTATCTATACCCAATACTTTTTTTTTTTGGATTGAGTGGGGAACGATTAGAATGCTTGTTGGGTTTTACTGCTGTTGGAGGCTTAGTTGGGGAGATTCTTTTACTTCCTGTCTCATAAAGGGTAAATCTCTAGCAGCAACAAAGATGGAAGTGAAAGTGTTTTTTAGGTAATCAGGCAAATTCTAGAACTTTTGTCATCTTATTGTTGTCTGTTTCTCTGGTGCAGATTTTCCTTTCACTTCCTGACTGGAAACATTTGTCTCCAGAACAGGAAGTAAGGGGAAATCTTAACTCCTGTCCTGGATAGTAGTAAAACTGCACAGGCGTTCTAAACTTTCCTCACTCTATCCACAACTAAAAATAAATTTAGGATATAGCTACACTTTGATGAATATGTATAGTCAAAACTTTTTTTTTTTAGTTTTGGATAAAATATGAAAGAGTTGAAAACCCATCCATTTTATTTCTTTGCAGCCTGTGTCCCATTGGAAAACATTCCTTAACTTCCTGCCCTAAAGATGCAACAGGAATTAAGCAGAAATCACTACAAAGTGAAAAAAATTCCCCTCTTAGACAGTTGTCACCAAAACGTGTCCTCGCTTCCTGTTCAGTAGTAGGAAACTGTGTGATAGTCCTGAGCAGGGCAGCAAGAGACAGTCATAGTGCAGTGTGATACAGTCCACAGCAAGATAATGTAACAAAATCAAATGTTCAGAGCATGAAATACGAAGATGGTTCAAAGAAGGATAATCTAATAAGTCTAAAACAGGATTGTGTAAAATAGTCCAGAGTAGTTGACAGCTATTTGATCATTAGGGCACCCCGTGGGCCAGAGAAAATTTTGGAGGCAACAGAAACAAATATTGCTAAGTAAAATAGCAGATATTACACAGAGTAGGGCAATGAAAAATAATTTAGAGCAGGACAGTCCACAATAGAGGGGTAGTCTCAGATTGGCTACAGAACTATATTATGTGATAGTCCAGCAAGACAATGGTGGAGAGCCAGTTGTATGAAAACAGGACATAGTCCAGATTGAGTCAATGAGATACAATATAGTTTAAGACATTGTGACCAAGAATGTGAACAAGCTAGCTTTCAAAATAATCTTCTGAAATATACTTTATTGAAGAGTCAAGTCATCCATAAAACAGATATAGTTTGCACGTTTAAGCTTGAAAGCGCCTTTGTCATAGCTATATCTGTTTATATGGGTGACTTGGTCCTTCAATAAAGTATATTTCGGAAGATCATTTTGAGTGCTGGTTGTTTGCTTTCTTGGTGCGGAATAAGTTTGGAGAAATGACTGTTGCCGAGCACCGAGTGGAGCGTGGGTTGGGTTTGAGGGCAGAGTATTTGTTTTTTTTATGTGACGTAGTCTAGCAATGGACAAGTAGTCTAGAAATGGACAATGAACAATGGGACCTAGTCTAGAAATGGACAATGTACAACGTGACGTCGTCTAGAAATGGACGTGTAGTCTAGAAATGGACATTGAATAATGTGATGTAGTCTAGAAATGGACAAGTAGTTCTAGAAATGGACAAGTAGGCTGGAAATGGATAATGTAGTCTAGAAATGGACAAGTTGTCTAGAAATGGACAATGAACAGTTGGACGTAGTTCTAGAAATGGACAAGTAGGCTAGAAATGGACAATGTATAAAGTGATGTAGTCTACAAATGGACAAGTAGTTCTAGATATTGGCAAGTAGACTAGAAATGGACAAGTA